CTTCTGGAGCCTAAAGGTCTTCCTTTCATATTTGGTGATAGGGAATAGGGACTCTCTGGTATGGTCTATGGTCCGAATGCAAAAACCTCAAATAGACGCGATAAAGGAGCCTAAAGAGCTCTCCCCCCCCCCCCCCCCCCATAAGAGTCCATAGGTGGATTGGATAAAACTGACTAGCGTAATGAAGCTTTAAACTACCATTAGCACCGCTAAAAGAGGTTTAAAGCTTTATTACGCTAAAGTCAGTTTCATGCAATCCACCTCGTCTTTTTAAAGGACAGTTAACTAAAACGTTTTCAGCGTTCGGGCCTAAGTCTTAACTTTCCCGTTGAGCACGAGTAGATTTTTGTTTTGTTTCACTCCTTCCAATTCAGATTGGGACCGGTGGGGCAGGTGTCGGACCGGTTGCTATTGTCCGAGGTCATTGACCAGGTTATTTACTTATTTTTAGATTCACATTGAGCAGAGCTTATTTTGTTAACATTTGTAAATCCAAAATTTCCAGTTCATCTCAGCTTCCGTCATTTTTCGTGTCTTACCCGTTTTGATCCTTTGGTTTCATTGATGTTAAGTAAATTCTAATAAATTTTCCGGCTGTATCGCAACTGGAGGGGCCACATCTTAACGACCTGGGCTTAGCCGAGCTTATCGTCTCGAAGGGGAGGTCGGGAGGTGGGGGAGTTAATCCTGCCCCCGAACTTTCGGATAGATAGAGATATCTATATCTGAACCTGATATGACATACTGAGATGGAGTTACGAAGTCTCTTGTTATATTAGTCTTGTTTAGTTCAGCTTTGACTTAAGTTGGTTCGTTTCGGTTCGTTTATTTTGTTTTGGTTCATAATATCCTTACAATGAAGTGAACCCTTTCTGGACCTCGACTGAACCCTTTACGAGCCGGCAGGAATTAGCGCCGAGCCTTATCTCTGTGGCCTCTCCAGTTGCGGAACAGCCAAATGTCGATATAAACTCTGTTCGGAACCGAGGCGTGTCGATGTTGACTTTAAATTCTTGAATGTAATAATTTCTACCTGATTTCTTCCTGGTAAAACCTGCCGTTTCGGCTGTCCAGCTTTGTGCTACTTGCTTCCAAGGTATAAACCGACCCACAGCGGCCCAAGCCTGTGACGCCCCCGGTCTCTCGCGAACTCGCACCTAATCGGAATTCGGGAGCTTCAAGTGCCTCGTGAGGGCACGCCACGCGCCCTCGAGTGTCTCACGAGGGCGTGGCACGCTCATCGTGATCTCCAGGGGCGTGTCGCTATCCCAGGTGGCACATAACATTGAATCAACATCGAATAAGTGCTAAGTCAACATCCGGTCGACGAATCAACATCCAATCGATGTCGGTTCGATGTTATGTGCCATTTGGGGCGAGGTAATGCAACGGCACCGTCGATGAGGTGAAACATGCGCGTTCTTCTCTGAATGCGCATTCTCATTCTTCTTGGGAATGTCTCAGAAATCCAGTAGAAAGTGGGAACATGGGGTAGCTCCATATCGGTTTCTTCATGATAAGTAAAGGTTTTCCGTGGTTCTTAACCACATCACACGAATTCAAGGTCTCGGGACTGTGACTGAACGTCCATCGACGGATCGACCCAAGTTGTCGATAAAAAAAAGAGCCACGGCCGGGCGCATCATTGTGAGGCGGCAGGACATAAGGAAGTCGGAGAACTGGCTGTCGCTCTCGGTGTGTTTAAGCGTGGAGTACTGCAGATAATGAATGCTACGCACTTACGCTATCTTCAACGAGTGCTCGAGGTGAACGCAAGTGAAAGTGCGAAAGGAATTCTCTCCGAACATGTTCCCCTGTCCACTACTTGCTGTGGCTGCCCTTTACAACTTTCGTTTGTGGGACCGTGTCGGTAGGCGATCGCGGGGGCAGAGATGCTGCCGGCCCGGAGAAAATCCTTAAACATTTACGGAGAATATCTGTTCGGTTGTTTTTTTGCGACCCAGAAACGAAACGAGAGTATTCTTTGAAAGCAGGAAAATGGCTGAATGCAGGGTGATTACTATATCACAACGGAAGCGAGAGAAAAATTCCCCGCGTTGGGTGTAGCTTATCCTAGTACATCGTAACATCGGGCGACAGTGGAGGTGATTGCTAAATATCGGGGGCTTGTGGCTGGCTCGGTGGTTCCTGTGGCAACTCAGTTTGCGAACCTTCGTTTATTCATGCATTTGCTTCAGAAAATTCACTCTTTGATCGTGTACCGTGTTGCTTTAAAAATGGGACCTTCAAACGATTTTCATCTCCATTGTGATCGGTGCCCAGGAAAAAGATAGTTCGGTTTAGCCATAGAATCGGCTAACTAAAAAAAAAATTTACATATGGGAAAGGTTTCGGTTGACAAACCTCTTCGCATCTAGAGTGTGGCTTAACTGGAAGCGCGCCATCACGATCGAGGATAAGGAAAGAAGACCGGTAGAAGCAGAAGGACACAGACATCGCGGTCTTCTTATCGAACTTCATAGATTATGCCAAGGAGCGTGGGGTGTAGAGCGCACGCAGCGCCAGCTGGTGACGGGAAAGGGGCCCTATCACTCGGTTCTGTCCGATCCTCGGGCTTGTTTCGGGCCGAATTCTATCTGCTCGGGTTGTGTCGAGTCGGGCAGCCTCTCCTGTTGTTTTTTTTTTTTTTTTTAACAAAATGAAATAATTTCTAATGTTTCCTTAAATTATTTTTCGAAGAAGAATGTTGGATGGGATGTATCAGATTCAAACTTATTCCACCATGATGGGGATCTTGATTAGGTATTTAGTCTGTTCAAAAATTTCAACTGCACCTGTTCAACCTGTTTCCCGCTCATCATGAACTCACTAAAATCAGCTCAGCATGCGTATATAAATGCATTTTACTCATTGTCCGGCCTGCCATTATGTGAGACTTGGTTCTTCTTTTTTTTTTTTTTTTACAACTACAATGAGAGCAAGCGAGGGGGGAAGGTTACATCGAGCAAACGTTGATTGTATCGCGGAAACTGGGAATGAAAAAGAGAAACGCCTTGTTCTTTTTCCGGTTGGGTCAAGTCGGGTCAGGCAATGCAATTCTGCATGCTAGGGTCTTCGATCGGGCTCGGGCGCGGGCCGATTTGGTGGGGTTGAAAAAAACCGTCTCATTCAGGTCTCTACTTGGAGGCCGGGTGTCGCATGATCGGTGGGTCTGTCGATGTGTCCAGTTCCTGTTTTAGCCTGTGCTTATCGTATGCTTGTGAGGGATTTTCGGTTGACTCCGATGCCAATGCTCGAGGAAAGCTGCTGATTGGTGTCAGAAGTCATCTGGAGAGTGTTGCAGACTAAGCATAATCGTTGCATGAACTTAGGTTTAGACCGTCGAGGGCAGCTTTAGTTTTGGAGAGCAGAAAAACATTGGCATACAAGTAACGATTCACATCTTTGCCTTTTATATAATGCACTGAGTGCTAAGTAAATGGTGTTTTTCCAGTTTCAAGATAGGCCTATTGACATCAGAGTACATGTGCAATATCTTCGTAAAAGGAGGGAAAGAGAAATAAAGGTAGGCCTAACAAGTTAGATAATTTCCTGAGAACATTTTCTGACTCCTGACTTACGGAGTTCGGCATATTTCTTTTAAAATTTGCATGAATTAGTTTGAATCTCTTGGAATTTCTTATGAGTGATTAAAGAATAGGCTTCTGTCTTACTATTTTTCAATGCTGTGATTATCTGCACACCATTGAATAAGAGTTTACATTTTATTGGGATATGTCCTGATCAGGAGGATTCAATGAATCATAACAGTCAAGTGTTGTCTGCAACCATATCTGTCATGTAGGGACTCAAGCGATGGCTGTATTTTAGTGAAGGGAATGTTAGTTCCCATGTCTACATATAGGCCATTTACCATAGAAAACACAGAACTCCATGTTAAGGGTATGAATGAGCTTTCCCATAATAGTGTGCATCAGTCTTCTGAATTTCTCATTCACTGTATGCTTGTGCCTATGCCTCTTCCTTTTCTTCGTAGACACCCCATGGGGATGACGTTAAGTTTCCCGCTCATGCCTGTTTTATTTGATTTCTGAAGAGACATTAATATTTTAGATATTGACAGTGTAGGTTTCTCTCTGCATAGAGAATGGAGAAGACTCCTGGACCAGACTCTTTCTAACATACCATTGCCATATGTGGCTGTTCCAAAACCAGATGATGCATCTCTTAGGTGGAACTTAGTAAGCTGGAGGAGCTGGTGGAGCTTAGTAAGCTTAGTAAGCTGGAGGTTTCTGATGATAGGATGTATTTTCTATTCTTTATCCAATATTGCATTTGAAAGATGTATCCTATTTTAATGCTATGAGATTGAATTCCTTGAGAAGTAATGGATAGGTAAATTGGAAGTCTCTGATGATGCCAAGCATCCCTATTCTTGATTAGGTGTCTGGGTGTTCCAACTTGAACAGTGTGTTGTTTGATTGCTAGGGGATGGAATTCAATAAGCCTTGATTATGAAATCTTAAATGTCTCACACAGCTAGTTCTATGAATCTCTTGACTACTTTCCCCTTAAAAGTAATATAAGGTGTTGTTTATTCCATTTGAATGCATAGCCAAATGTTGAGTTGTTTGTGTAGAATTTGTCTAAGACTTTTATTGCATATAAACCCAGGTCTTTAAGAGAAGATATTTGGTATATGAATTGCCTTTCAAGTGCCAAGCACCTGCAAATATGTATCAATTACTTTTGTACTACTCTCAATTCTTGTCTTCCTGATTTATTAATACTCTGATAAGAATCAAAGGTGTCATTGACCTACTTATCTACTAGTGTAAAATGCAGAGGGTGATGATGTGAGTCAATAGGAAACAGAAGAGTTTTAAATGCTCTCTGCCTTTTTTTTGCAGGTTGAGTGAGCATATGCTAAGACCATGATTCAGGGTAGTCATTAATTTGCTAAACTTTTTGCAAAGCAGATCTACTTAATAGAAGTTTGTGCTTGTTTTACAGGTTTAGAATTGGCCAAAAAGAACAAAATGGGTGCTGGTCGCAGTAAGAGAGACTTATCTGAAGAAGAAATTGAATTTCTCCTGAAACACACCAAATATAATCAGGCTGCCATAAAGGAATGGCACAAAGGTTTCATTAAGGATTGCCCTGATGGTCGCCTTGCAAGGAAGAAGTTCATAGAGGTATATAGTATGTTCTGCCCTGGGAGCAATGCAGAAGCATTTTGTTCCCATGTCTTCCGTACTTTCGACACAAATAGAGATGGGCATATTAATTTCCGTGAATTTCTTTTGGCTCTGGACATGACATCATCTGCAGTGCCAGAAGAGAAGCTGAAGTGGGCATTCCAAATGTATGATGTGGATGGAAATGGATACATAGAAATTCATGAAATGACAGCTATAGTGGACGCAATATACTCTATGCTGGGAAAAGGCGAGATCCAGGCTTCATATGGAGATACACCAAAAGAGAGAGCTCAGAAAATATTCACCAAGATGGATGTGAATGTGGATGGGAAAGTAACACAAGATGAATTCATTGGGGGATGCATGGAGGACAGTGAAATACGTCAACTGCTTAGCCATGGGCTTTCCAGCAAGTAGAAGGTCTCTAGTTTCTCAATTCAAAGCACAATCACTCAAGTGCCAGTTCTCCCTTAACTGATGGGATCAATCATTGGGACCGGTCCTTGCAGGAAAACTTTCTTTCAATATATTCTCACCATATCCTTTTCCTGCTTTTCTCTCACTAGGTCTATTCTTGAAGTGACAGTTGTTACAGTGTGTTCTACCATCATCAAATTAGTCTTTGTCCAATTCATATCCTTTGAGTGTTCTTTTTTAATTTTTTTTTATTGTTTGTTTTTTAGAATGCTGTCCTTAGCCTGTGTGGGTGCATAACCCTCACCATTCAAATTGTCTTTCAAAGATTTGAAGCTGGGCATATCAGAAAAATGATTTCTTTGTTGCAAGATTTCATGAATTTTTTCCATCCAGACTAAGAAACTTACCTCTTTATCTTTTTTGTATACTTTCATATTATTCTGCTTGCTTAATGCTTCTCATGCTATGTACAGGGCTACTAACATATCCTTGTATACATGGTACACAGGATGTGGCTTATTGGTTTGAGGTTTGCTGGATGTGTTTTTGGGAATGAACTTCTATGTTTGTGTTTTGCAAACTTGGAAGTTGAGTCTTAAGGTGAAAAGAAAAAATCCTATTGCCACAGAAATCCATAGGTACAATCATGCTGGTTCACCTAAAAATGGTTAAAAGCACCTGCTGCAGAGGTTATTTTGTGTAGGGAAGGCAAAGGCGTGGCTTGGTATCAATTGTCTAGTAAAAAATATGACATGCACAATTGCCCACCATTGATGAGTATTCAATTTTTATATCTCTCTTTCACAAGTAAGAATGTTCTATGCCTTTAAGAATTTGCTGGTAGTTGCTGGGATATCTCTAATGGTACTCAGAATTGTTTTCCAAAGTTGCACTTTTTCAGAATCATTATGATGTGCCTTTGAGATAGACAATATTGATGTATAAATATTCCTCTCCTTGAAATTATTTCCTGATTCCTGAAAATTTTGAAGGCAGTATTGCCCTTTCTTTTCCCCTTGGATTCCTTCTTGCCTTACAGCACAATGTTGATAAATTACACATGAACAAGATATCTTTCCCTAATTTTTCAATGGTGTGCTGTTTTTTTTTGTCACTGAATAGGATGATGAAAAATTTATGAAAGAGAAGGGAATGTACCTGCTCAAGCAAGAATCTATACCAGAGAGTTCTTTTTAAAGAGTAGTGTAATTGGTGCTGAAAGAGACCTCCTTTGGTTAGTAATAAGTTAAGAGGGTTGTCAAAAAGAATTCATGATAAAGTAAACTACAAAACAATCATGCTACAAGTTGTAACATATTACAAGTCTTTCTCAAAAATATCTCAGCAAGTTAAAAAATGCAAACTATAAATCAGTGGAACACCAAAAATACATGATAGATTTAGCAACTGTTGATTATCTGATTTGAATGGCTTTCCTGTAAACCTCTCACATTTCTTGTGCTTTCTTTCAAATTTCTCATGCCTAAACCATATCTCTAAATCTAATCTCTAAACCATAATGAAGGAAAGGCATATGTGCTGTTGATAAAGTGCCGAAGTCTAGCTTCCATGGATTGAATATTCCTCATGGGAATCTAGCTCCCAGCAGGTTATGATATTCTTGTTGATGTCTCAGACTTTCTGAGTTCAAATGATTTTAAATGAGAAAAAAAAAAACAGATTTTGCTGGGTTGCACTTGAAGATCTGTCAATATCATCTAACTGCACTCAGTTTCCATGATTGTTTTTGGTATGAGTAAGTCAGCTAATGTTTCCATGCTGATGTAAGCAATACCTGACCTAATTATAATGGTAATGATTTGATTACAAATTAAGCCAGTAATGAAAGTATGCAATCTGCCTTTGAATATCTGGAATATTCAAAATTTGCAATGGACTTTTGGTGTCCTGCATGTGTGGTAGATGACATTTATATTTCAGGACATTCATATAACCTGGGTGGGTTGATGCCCTTTGTGGATATTTACCCAGGCTGACTGCATAGCATAAATTGGAGGAAATGGGGTTCAGAACATTTATTTTACACATGGGCATTTCATCAATTGATATAATTGACTTGGGGAACCTGCATATTGAAACTATGCAGTATTATGCTGATGCACCATTGAATGCATTTCTTTGTGTCTTTCAATGATATTGTTCCAGTTGAGGTATCCCCATTTTATTTCTGTATCACCATAACTCTTGGACTTATGGTATATGTAAGACTATTCTGTCTTGTCACATGTCTTAGTGGCTGATGAGAAACACGTGTAGGCGTGGAATATCAATTCGAGGTTACAATATAAGAGGATATTGCATCTTCCCTTCATCAGTAGGTTCTGGTGTGTTCAACTTAGCAGAACTGGAATATTTTACATGATGCCAATAACATAATTTTTTAGGTGTCTCTTCAGTAAATTGATTGATGTATAGCTCTATTAACTAATAGCCATACCCTACCCTGAATTATTTAAAATATCTCGAGTTTTTCACTTCTCACTATTTGGTCTTGCACCATGAATTATTTATGATCGTGCACATTCCACCTATCTGAAAGAAAGAGACCCTAACAAAGCTCTCATGCTTGAATTAGTTCTGCAAAAAATCAGCATTAGAAGAAGGACCACTTTGGCTAATTCCTTGATTTGTTTATCATTAGATTGAGTGTCCTATGCTTGGGTTCTGTTTTGTTAGATGTCTTTTTGGATAGAGGTTTTTGTATTTAATTGAAGGTGATGTTTCCACTTTTTAGAAGTATGATGAGTCATGCAGTGATTGTATGACTCAATTCTTGATTCCAGGCCTTCTCCTTGCATGTCTTTTGTACAAAGAAGATACCTTATGTTTCTACAATTCCTTGTGCCATAGGAAGTGTACATAAGTAATGGTCTTTGGCAAGCATAGCAGTGATAGAGAAATTTATTACTGGTTTCAAGAAGTTGCTAAGAATTCCCAGGAATGTCCTCTTTTTCAGAAAGTTGTGGAAATTGCAAGTTCATACATTGATCCCAACTTCAATCCAAGAATAATTAAAAAGACTCGAGTCAGCAGGTGATAATTTCTTTTAAAGTCTACCTTTTGATTCTGCACTGTCAAGAGGATGCTTCTGAAGTGAGGAGGGAGTTACCTAAGGAGTGCATTTATTTGTTCTGTTGCTCATTGTTGATCTTTCCATCTTGCTTTGCATTTGGTACACTTCAAAAATTTTTGTCATTAATTACTACTCTTAAACTTTGCTCATGAGTGCATAACTCAAGTGGTTGTAGTAGTTGGAACATCATGGTTGATGTATGCATTTGGAAGTTTCAGTCTGCCCATAATTTCCTTTCAGAAAATACTATGGACTTACATTACACCTATAGGTTACTGTTTTTTTTTGGTGATTAGTTTGGGGCATTATCCGTGATATGTGGGGTTTTGGGCAATAATCGTGATATGTGGAGTTCTGGGTGATACATGAACCAAATGTTCCTTGAGGATATCCAGTGGGAATGGGATCTATTTGTGGTGCTAGTCAGTGTTGCCAGTGGTGAATAGCATTGTTTCCTGTTGTATTAAAAATAAAGAAATTACCTCCAATGGTGCTGTTGTACAGCATTGTTGTACCATGAAATTGATTTCCTGAGACTTTTCTTGCCAGCTTTCTTGAACAGTTAGTTAAATTGGAATAAATTTCTTTTCTGGACAGATTTCATTTATTTACTGGGACATTCTTCCATCTGATGTTCAACATTTTCTTGTCCTCCCATTCACCCAAGACCTTATTTATAGTGGAATGTTTTGGAAGTGCTGTAGTAGGAAGTTCAACATTGCAATCTTTATTACAACCCCATTGTAAAGGGTTCTACACCCTTATTTTGCTAATGCTAATATTTAGGCCTATCATTTGCCCTGAATTCCCTGTGTTACTCATGTTGAAGAGTTTTGGAGATTGATGCCTTATAAGACATCCTCAGTCTAGATTTTAATGAAAGCAAGGTAATTTGGTAAAACACTAAATACAGGATGTCCATAAAGTATTCACAAAACTATAATATTTAATAACTTATGAACAAATGTATGTACATGTATGTGGTTTGCAGGAAGTGAAAGCTTGATATTCAAAGATTTATTACATGCATTTCAAAATTAAAATTTTAAAATTATTATTTCAGTTTGTTGGAAGTGAAATGACAACTCCACAAGAGAAGGCAATTGCATGTTGTGGTTTGTGGAGTTGAAGTGAGCCAAACAGGTGTAATGCAGGTTCTTAACTGTTTACAGCAAGGATCCTCATGTCTGAGAGAAGAGCTCCAGCAAGCCTTCAGCATTGGATGCTGATGAACATTTATGGGAAACCTTCGAGAGCAGCCTAAGTCTGTGTCCTGTGCTGGTAACGAATTGCAGATGCCACCTGAGCTCTTCTGTTTTAGCACACTTCTTGTGTCCTTAAATTGCTTCACCCATTGGTATATTGAATCATGGACAGGAGGATCCTTGCTGTAAGCAGTTCTGAACTTTCATTGCAACTGTGTGACTCAATTCAACTCCACAAACCACAATGCACATTTGCCTTCTCTTGTGGAGTAGTCATTTCACTTCCAACAAGTTGAAAATTAATTTTAAAATTTTGAAATGCATGTAAATAAAATGTTAAATCTCAAGATCTCACTTCCTGCAAACCACATGTATGTATGTTCATGTCTTATTAAATATTAAAGTTGTATGAATATTTTATGGACACCCTATATTTCATTGCCCTAGCCATTTTTACAGATACTCTTGCTCTTGCTTCCCATCTTCTGTTGATAGTTGGAAGTGCTCTAATGAAGGAGTACCAAATTCAAGGGAGCCTTTGAGATTACTTGCAGCTGTTGATGTATCAACATAATAATTGTCTGAAATGTAAACCAAGAATTTTTGTTATCCTCAGGATTTGGAATTTATGGTAGGAGTGACTTCACCTTCTTTCCAAACTTGCAACTGTCATATTTCCACCAATAAACTCATTTAGCTGAAGCAATGTATGTGTGTACAAGAAGGAAACAAGCCTTTGGGAGTGAGTGGTCTGCATCATGATCAAGATCCTCTCATCACAATAGGAAAATTTAACTAAGATATGTGAAAAAGGCTGTAATATGAAAGAAACTTAAGAGATAATTCATGTTTTGGGGCATTTCTTCTTTCCACTTTAGAAATTAGAGATTAACAAGATCCTGAATGAATACATCAGTACTTTGCATATTTCAATTGACAAATAACATGGATAGCTGGAAGTAGATGGAGACATGCACTTGTCATGAGGTGCTCATGAAGGCTAAAACCTGAACCTGAGAAACTAAAGCTTTTCTGCAATATATTTGGAGACAGGCCTTCACAACCAATATCAGAGCCAGTATCAGCATGACAGGTGTGGTCAGTGAAGGTGGTGCATTATTGCAGTATATGTCTGTGCTAGCTAAATCGAAGCACCAACAACTTAAGGGAAACACATTTTACATGCGAGACTGGCTATCCTCATATTTTTGCTTCCTGTAGTGATGTCATCATTGTACTACTCAGTTTAATGGGCAACAGATACAACAAGGGGAAATTGCAAGCAATATGGCACATGTGTCAGTGATAAGTCAAAATGGGTATCCTGTTTGTACTATTGTGTAATATTACAAGTGCTGACTTCTTTGCACAGATGTAGCTTGTCACCTCAGATTTTGTTAATTTAGTGTCTTTTGTCTTTACAAGAAATCTCAAGTTGTACAACTGTGAAGTGGAAAGAGCTTTCAATGTGTTCTCCAGGACATGTTCAACAAAACACAGCTATCCAACAGTGATCAAATTAATAGTAAATTAAATTTCATGCTAGTGTGATGTCTTTTCATTGAATTTACTGTTGTCAGGCTTCACTTTCCTCAGAATGGGGAAAGGAATTCGTGAAGAGCAATGCATCATAAACGAATGACTGACTCTCATACACCCAGAGACACCCTCTGATTTTACCAACCCATTAGGACCGTCCCATTCTCATATCACTGTGTGAAGTTGCTCATGCTGAGCAACTTGGGATGAGAGCCTACTTAGGACATGGGAAATTCTTTAATTGAAAAGAAAAATATTGGTCAACCTGAAATGAGCCAATGTGCCTTGTAAACATTGATTTAGGACTGTAAAGGTGATTGACAGCCTATTAAAAGCATGTATCCTGAGTTGTCCTCTTGAAAACTATGATGCATCAAGCTGTGATTCTTGATGGGGGCATTTAGTGGTGGGTGACTGGACCAGAGTCACACATCTGGTTTAGAAACTCATTCTAACTTTACAGTTTGAGAAAACGACAATTTGAGGCTAGCAGGGCTTAGTTGAAGATTTGGGTATGTGAGAATCAAGATGCTAGAGCAAATAATTTAATCCTGATGTAGAAAAATTGAGCACCATCTTTCTGATGTCTGAGAGGCATATTATTTCACTGTGGAAGCAACACTCCAACAGAAGCCTTGGGTCATCTATTACTTCATCATATTGTTATATACTGTTAAATACAAAGGAGAAAAAATAGAGTCATTGGCCTCTACATGAACATAAAAAAAGGGCCTTGGTTTTTCAGCCTAACCCTTTCTTTTTGTGGAATGAGACTGGACTCCTTTCATCCATGATTGATGTGCACATGTGTTTGGAAAATTCTCTCCCTACTATATCTGATTCCATATTCACCTTGGAGTTCATCTCTAAATACATAAATTTCTGGGTGTTTCTGGACTTTCAGAGGTATGCTATTACTGTTATTTCCTTGTTCATTTTAGTCATTCATTGGAGTAATCTTACTTGCTAGCTTCACCACTATGGGTTGAAATTTGATCCCATATTTCTTCACTTGTGAAGGCTGAATATTTTTTCAGTGAAGTCTCATATTTTTATGTGGCATGACTATAGCCCTCCTAATAGGAAGTCAGGGAAAGTCAGCATGATTCATTTCACAGACGACATCGCAATATTAGTGGAGGAAGAAAGAAACTTAAATTAAATGGAAGGAGTGTTATGGAGCAAATACAACATGAGAATAAATAGGAACAAAACAAAGGTGATGGTGTGCTGAAGAAACCAGACGGGAAAACTGCAAGTATGATTGGGAAACAAAGAGCTGGAGGAGGTTGATGAATTTTGCTACTTGGGAAGTAAGATAACTAAGGATGGATGAAGTAGAAAGGAAATAGCAAGCAGAATAGCACAGGCAAAGAAGGCTTTTTATCAAAAGAGGCAACTTCTGACATCAAGTTCTGTCAACCTGGAAGTTGGAAAGAAATTCTTGAGGACCTATGTATGGAGTGTAGCACTGTACTGATGTGAATCATGGACAATAGTGACTGCAGAGAAGAGAAGATTGGAGGCAATGGAAATGTGGTGCTACAGAAGGATGCTGAAGATTCCATGGGTGGACAGAGTAACAAATGAGGAGGTACTCGGAAGAGCACACGAAAAGAGGAGGATATGGATAGCATATTAACAAAGAAGAGACTGATGGGACACACGTTGAGACACGAAGGGATGCTGAAGACCATAATTGAGGGGATGATAGAAGGAAAGAATTATAGGGGAAGACCTAGACTAGGGTATGCCTGACAGATCATGCAAGATGTGGGTTGTAGCAGCTACAGAGAAATGAAAAGGGGAGAGAGGAATGGAGAGCTGCGACAAACCAATCTAAGGATTGATGACGAATAGGAAGTCCTAGAATGGGGCTATGCCACTGGCTTGATCTTGGCCACATATTAGACACTTGAGTCTGACATCTTTTCACTTCACTCAGACATCCATGCAGTGGGGCACTTTCCATTTTTAAGTATCGGCACCAATTGAATAGTGTCTGACTTTTAGCAAAAATAATTGCATTAGCAGTTGGGGTAGCAATCTATTGGCTGCATGTGCTCTCTATATTATGGTAGGTGATGATTGAATGAACATCTCCTGGATAGTTCATGTCATGATTAAACTGCTGAAACAGACTTTATGATGTTTCGAACCACACAGCATCTGTTGCAGAGAGTGTCCTCTCAGCTACGAACTAAGACCAGAGTAAAATCTCATCAAACACTACAGGTATGTCATCTATTGTGTCAAGTCTTATCCATGACTTTTCCATGATATATAATTAGGAATCATTTTGGGAACAACCAATGTAAGGCCAATGCCCCTATAGAGGGAGCAGGTGTTGGAAGGATTCCTTAGTCTGTAGTGATTGATAATAAAAATGTTATGTAGTAAAGGTATTAGGGAGGGTTGTTGAAGTACTTAACATTTGAATTCAGTCCAAGTACCAACCAAATTTCCCAATTTTCCATTGCTACATATTAAGGAATAATCCCAGCACTTGTTTCTGCTCTGGGAGCATTGACCTATATTTTCAGATTCATATTGATAAGCTTTCTTTTTTTTCCAGAGTTTCTGTTATATTCTATAAAGATACTTATGCTTTTTCTTCATTGCTGTTGAAGATAGTAGCTAGTAAAAACATTGTTTCTTCTTCCTCTTTCAGAAATTAGATGGTGGGAGATTTGCACCTTTCTGCAGTTTGGTGAGTGAACTTGTCTTGCTTTTTTTTGCTTTGGAGACCAGTACATTTTTGGCATTTCTACAATGGAAGTGCATGTAGCAGGAGTGTGCAACCTCTGGGCTACAGGCCATATCCAGCATGTAAATTGCCTTAGAGAACATCCAGGTTGTGCATCCCTGGCAAAGAGTCATGGCCCTGCCTGGTTCTAGGAAATGCTAAGGGTAATGTTTCTAACTTCTTTAGCATTCTTCCATCAATTTGAGATGAAGAAAGTGATCGACATATGTCTTCCTAAGCATCTGGACGAAGAACTCATAGTATCACATGGTGTCTTTAAGAAAAAGTGAGATTCACTAAATAAATCATTTGGAAGTAAATTATTGTATATCTCAACTGTGTTCACTATGAGCTTTCAAGCTGAACTCTAGTGTAAGGAGAGGCTTGAGAGAACAAGAAGATTCAGAGTATCATTATAGGGGAGAAGGAGGAATTGAGACCCTTTGAAAGTTGCCATATAGGTTTCACATCAGAATTATCTTCTTTTTATCAATAGCCAGTTTCAAAACCTGAAGGGCACCTCACATGTACCCTAATCCCTGGAGATGGAGTTGGCCCAGAATTGATGCATTCTGTGCAAGATGTCTTCAAAGTGAGCCATTCTTGAACCTGTAAGTGTGATTTGCTTGCATTCATTGGCTTCTATACTTTTTGTTTCTCGTTTAGGCTGCTGGAGTGCCATTAGATTTTGAGGAGTACTTCCTGAGTGAAGTCCACCACCATGCAGTCAGTACAGACCTAGATGTTGTAGCAGAATCCATTCGCAAAAATGGGATCTGTCTCAAAGGCACTTTGACCATTCCAGACTTCTCACCTACTGGGGAATTAGGATCCTTGACAATGGCATTAAGGTATGCATTGCAGATTTAGAAAAGTTTTGGAAATTTTTGCTGATATTTTGGCCTAGAGTTAGCAATTAATAGCATAATTACCCATTGATAGTTTTTTTCTCTCTATTTTGTGTGCTCCTGTTAAATTAAAATCCCTCAGGTTGGAGTTGTTTTTCTATTATAGAAATTGATATTCCTCAAACTTTTATTCTTTGTAAGATTTTTTTCTTTCCAGATTTCCTACATGGATATTCCTTAAATGTAACTCCAATATCCTCAGTTTTTTTAAATATATTTTTAAAATATCTGATTGATTGGAAAGAAAGGTCTTGGAATTTCATGAACAATTATTACAACCCAGTTTATTTAAAACAAATGCTGTTACTCTTCACTTGAACAACTGCATTTTAACTGAGTCTTTGCTGGTTCATGGCTGGAGAGCACCAGGGCTGTAATAATATACGGTTGTATGCCGAAGGACACGACCTACTTATAAACACATGCAGAACATTCTAGCATGCTCTGGAAAAAAATTGTACTGGATATTCCAGAAATTCCAAGAACTTTCTTTCCAATCAGATAACAGCTATTTTGAAACTTTAATTCCTGTTTTGCCTGAGCAACCCATATATTTGAAGCTGAGAGGCATCAAATTTATTCTACTGTTGTTGTGGGAGTATGTGATTGGGATAGGAGTAATAGTTTTCCAATTAATTTAGCTTTAATTGGGACTCATTTCCCACTTAATGCCTTTTTAAAATTTATTTCACTGATGAGTCCAGCACAGGAACCAAAAATGAACCCTTTTTGTTTGAAATCTTATGAAATGGTGGCCTTTAGGAAACAGTCATTTCTAGATGATTCTCTCCTCATTTTCAAAAATTTTTTTTCTTTGGGAAAGGGAAGAACATAAGAGCAAGGCTCTCATGTTCTTACTGTCAGAATAAATAACAAGAAGAAAAAGAGACCTTAGAGGAGATGATAAAGAAACTATATGTCTTTTATTCACTACATTCAGGAGTGAAACTGAAGACTCAGTTAAAATGCAGTTGTTCAAGTGATGAGTAACAGCATTTGTTTTTAATAATAACTTGTCACTAATTTGATTGATGACCAAGAATACCAGTATTTGAGGAATAAAGGGCATGAACACTAGATTTCCTTTGTGATTACTCATTCTCTATCATGACTATATAAGATAATTTTTGCTATATTGAGTGGAACTGATTGTCTTTCCTGCAGGAGGAAACTGGATTTATTTGCCAATGTTGTTCATGTGAAAAGCCTGGCAGGAGTTGAAACTCGCCATAGGAATATTGACTTCATCATCATCAGAGAAGTCACAGAAGGAGAATATTCCTCCCTTGAACATGAAAGTGTCAAGGTCAGGTAACTTATGTTTAATAGGTGATTTGAATTGAATATATCTGTATGCAAGCTTTGCTCAAATCTTTTGAGGAATTTTTACGCTATGAAGGGAAACTTTGGATGGTGAGGCAATTTGAAACATTTAACTTGCAAGTTAATGCTCTTACGGAATTGCAGTAATTTTGCAACTCAAAAAATTTTTCCCTATGCTAACAGGCAAGTATTCATTTTGCTGTGTTTAGATAATTTTATATGCAGTAGCTTTAATTTGTAAGTAAAAATCTGTTATGAGTCATTCCACATTATGGGACTTCTAAAGTTTTATGTTGGTACATATATTGGAGAGCACTCAGCCAAGTCCTACTGATCTAGCTGTGTGCTGAGTGATTGGCTGCCCTAGGATTAGGAAACTGAATCCAAGTAGAAAAATAGACAAGATTGGAGAAAGTGTGATTCAAAGTATCTCAGCATCATGCTCAAATCCAGATATATTTCATCCAGATATATTACTTGGAATCACTCACTTTAGATCCCCTTGTCCCTTCTGCTCAATTGTTGTATGTGAAAGCAGTTGGTCATGTTGATATAGCAGGGAGATGAGGATCTCTATGTACATGCTCATCAGTCATAGCTTGATGCATCTTTGGAAAACTCTTTGATGGGTGTATGCATCTTTTCTTTTTTATTCATCTTTCAGGGAGTTGTAGAATCCTTGAAGATTGTGACTAGAGCTAAGTCACTGCGAATTGCCAAATTTGCCTTTGACTATGCAGTGAAGTATGGAAGGAAGAAGGTAACTGCAGTACATAAGGCAAACATCATGAAGCTGGGTGATGGACTCTTCCTCAAATGTTGTCAAGAGGTTTCAAAGAGATTCCTTTTCATCTTGTCTTCATTCAGAAAATTCACAATTTTTAAAGATATTCTATAATTTCAGGTATCTGAATACTATCCAAGGATTCAATTTGACTCACTCATCATTGACAATTGCACGATGCAGTTGGTGTCCAACCCTCATCAATTTGATGTGCTGGTGATGCCAAATCTCTATGGTAACATTGTAGATTCCCTGGCTGCAGGTCTTATTGGAGGACCTAGTGTCTGCTCTGGAGCCACTTTCTCCCCTGACTGTGTTGTTTTTGAACCTGTAAGTCACCAGCAGTGAATACTGGGAAAGTTCACAAATGCCCAACCTACCTCATTCTGAGTTCCCACTGTGTTTCCAGGGCACCCGACATACATTCTTTGAGGAAGTTGGGAGAGGAATGTCAAATCCAACAGTCATGTTCCTTGCTGCTACACACATGCTGGCTCATGTTCATCTGGATTACCACGCCATGATCATCCAGCGTGCTGTTGAGAAGGTCATCAAGCTTGGCAAGGTTTGCATTGCAATTTATATTCTTTCCTGAGTTTTCAACTTCCTAGAGGACATTTAATTGACCATCTTAATTTCTTTCACTCTTTATACCTCTTCTATGACCCACAGCTATAACTTTAAATGGGGACTTGCTGTTTACAGGTGAGAACAAGAGATTTAGGAGGGTATGCAAGCACAAGAGATTTCACAGCTGCTGTCATCAATCAGCTAGGCCGGTGAACATTTATTTATTCCTGTGTGAGTAGTTTCACTGGTGTTTGCTCTCTAAATACCCTTCATATGTGCAATATATTGTGTCCCTGTTTGGAAAAATCCCCAATAAAAAAGTGACACATGCTGTGGCATGATGGTCATTCATTCACCTTGAGCAGGAAAAACCAACAGCATTTGCAAGAGGAGGAAGCCATTAAAATTGAAACCCTTGAAGCCAATCCACAAAAAAGGAAAAGAAAATTGAGTCTTGAATGTCAAGAGAGCTGCAGTGTGGATCTGTTTGAAGTTACTGTGCATGGATCTGATATGGGATTCTCCTCGATAATAGGTACTTGGCTCAGTTCTTAGGGGCTGTGTTTGGTGTCTCTTAAATTTGTGAAACTCCCATATGCATTTGACACTACCTTATTGGGACCATTGGACATTATCCCTTTATCTGGAGTTTCTTCAGATTTTTTTAAAAAGAAAATAGAACAGTACTGTTTTTCCAACTTGTTAACTCTTTTTTTTGTTGCAAAAATGACTTTTCTTCTGCTTTTTGCATATCGTTTCTCTCCCAATACTGCCTTTATTTCATGGAAAAGATAATGGGAAACTGCTTGTGACTGGTCACAAGGGGGGGATTGGCTTGTGGAAATTTCACGAGAAGATGGAAAAAGGAGAAACAAGGATGTGGATTTTCAAATCTCGTTTAAAAAATGTTATTCCAGGGTTGAGATGTTTATTTCAGCAGATTATTCTCATGACCATATTCCTTTTATACTATGTCATTCAGAATGCATCTATTGCTAAGTACAGTGGTATTCCATTAGGCAGTGTTCTAATAGATGGAGTCAACTGTAATTCAAATAATTTGTGTTTTCAAATCTTTTATTCCACAATTAAACAGGAAAGCACTTCTGTGACACTTGTGAAAGAAAGGTTCATCACCTCACTTTCAGCCTAACAGATGTCAGATTTACCCAATCTGACATTGCCATGAGTAGCAATAGAGGACCGAAAGTGTGAGATTCAAATGTAAGAATAAAAATACTCAGTTGATCTCCCTCATGGCTTCAAAATGTGAGGTTTTTGACCAAGGTAAAAATGAAGTATTCTTGACTTCTATGCCCAACACACCAAATTTCCAAACACAATTCTTGAAAACAATTTCTAAATCACAAAAAATCTGGCTGATTTCACCTGTAAAAAAGCATAAAATGTAGCCATAACCTAATTATTGGGTTGGAAAGAAAGTCTTGCAACACTGCGCACATTTTTCAAAATTTTATAACTATTGAAATGCAATTTCAGTCTACAATGTAATGACCATTGTTGTCTATGACATGTTCCCAACGCACGGGTAACTGCTCGATGCCCTTTGCCCAGAACTCTGGCGATTGCGAAGCGAAGAAACGGCCGACATCATTTTCGAGCTGTGCTCGATCGTCGAAGGCCTTGTCCCGCAGGTGATTCTCGAGGGCCCGGAACAAGTGATAGTCGGAAGGGGCCAAGTCCGGAGATTACGCTGGATGGGGTAAAACTTCCCAGCCCAGTTCCGAAATTGTCTGACAAGTCATCTTCGCAACATGTGGACGAACGTTGTCAAGCAGAAGGAGAACTTTGTCGCGTTTGGGACGCTCTTTTTGAATGACGCCAGCCAACTTCTGAAGTTGAGCAGCGTAGACGACGGCAGTCACGATGGTACCGGTTGGCAGGAGCTCTCATCCACATCCTGGTGACCTCCGTTCGGAGGATATTCTGTTCCAGAAATACTAAACCTTGTGCAAATGGTAACAAGTGTATTTCCTTTCCCTTCCATGCAAATACTGTTCACGTGAGGCTTGGCGCTGAACCTACGCCGACGTCAGCCTGCTACAATAGCGGCAAACGAATCAGCTACCCATCTCTCAACAGCACCACAAAAGTCTACCACGTGACATATATATATATACCTCGTATATATCTACTTTGTTTGAAGCAACAGAGCTACATCTGATAAAAAGTCTGCTCTTTTCCTTTCATTTATTGCCTCGCCCAGGATTCTACGAGATAAGTTATTATACAAAGCCTGATATTCCTCTGATACGCTTTTATACTGCAACAGGGGGCATGGTTTTAAAGCTGCGGAACGAATTAAGCCTACTTCTAAGGCTCCGTTCAGTGATTTAACATTTCCAGACTCAAAGAATATTACACTTTCATTGCTGAAAAGGTTTTCATGAACTGGACTTCGCGATAAAATTAAGGGCAATCCAACTTTACACACTTCATGGATTGTCAAATCAAAAGTTTCAAAAGTTGAAGCGAAAATTGCGACCTTAAAGCTGTTTTTTTCAACAAATTCTGACAATTCTTTCCTTTTGATTTGCCCATGGAAATAAATTTTCTCTCTCAATTTACTCGGTATCAATTTTAATAGATTTCGCTTTATACTGCAACTATCTACAATCATATCAGGTCCCACAAATACAAATGACCCAGTGTAACCTTTATGTCTCATTAGAAATTGTGTGGTAGCCTGAATAATCACTTCTAACCCCTTCACCTTTTGCAATCTACCATAGATAAGCACATTTTTTGCATTAGGATTTTGTGTTACTCGCTCACACATTTTCAAAATGGTATTCATGGGTGGATAAATCAAAGTTTGGTAGGAATACATATTTGGAAGTAGATCATAAGCTTCCATAAAAACGGCTTGCATGGATGTTGACTGGAAAAGAACAGCATCAGCATATTTGAGTGATGCTCGCTCCATAACATACATAGGTATACGCTCTTCGTGGATCGTTACTGAAACATTTTCCGACAAATCAAGTAGCTCCATTGTTCCATGAGCACGCACAACAACTAGCACGTCTCGTTGAATGCCATAATCAGGTTCAATATCGCGCAAGCATATAGCTCGTAACGTGTAAAAAGCAACACCCGCATGATCAGGAAATTCAATAATGTCAAATTTCACTTCTTTGAACAAGGAAACTATGCCTCGAAACCATTGATCAGCTTTACCAACAAATCCATTGCGAAATTCTTGATTATACTTAGCATATTGATTTAATGTGAATGTCATGAGCCTGTGTGTCAGGACACCGCGGATTATGACATGGTCCTTCCACTCTCTAATTTCAGACTCTTCCACATCAGCCAAAAGTAAAATTTCATATCCAGCGATTAGTAGTTCTTCAATCAGACCACTCACGACTGCACCAAAATATCCTGCATCGACTGCTACTTCACATGCGCAGAACAAAATGGTTGGTTTCTTGTCCGTCTTGGGTTCTTGCAAATATGATACTGGTGAGGTTTCCTGCACATCATGGATTGGGATTGGCACATAGACGGGCAACTGATGCATTGATAGAGATCGATCCACGAACACATTAAACATGTGCTCGGCCATTTTGTCCAAATAGGACATCAAGGCATCTGCAATTTTCAGAATTTCACGCCTCCTTTTCAATGATTGAAGTACTTTCTCAGCAATGTGAATGGGAGAACCGACGTCTTGCAACAAGAGTAACTCCTTCAGTCTCGGCTCTTCATTAAAAAAATGGACATATTGACCTGTAATGACTAATGTGCCATGCAGTAAACTTTGAATCACCGTCATAGGAAAGCATTCGTCCAAGGAAGCATACAATATGATGTCCATTTTACCGACTAACTCCAAAAACTGGTTCTGTGGCAAAAAACCATGAAATATGAAGGATCCACGGCATAGTGATATGTAGGGCAAATCGGGCTTTTGCAGCAAGTGAATGGAAACATTTTCACCTAAAATACAAGCAGCAGCAATTTGTGTTGCCACATTCTTCCTTTGCGACCAAGGCATTCCAAATATCCCTATATGAATCTTGCGATCCAACAAACTCAACTTCAAAAGTCGAATTTTCGGTTTTCCAGCCTTATTAATAAGCGTAACGCTGGGAGTTCCAATGGCTTGTGCGAATTCATGCAAGCCATGTTTTACAAACCCCACCTTTTTCACAATTCCTTCCTTAGCTTTGACAATCATTTCATGAAATATACTTGCTTCACTTGGCTCTGCCACATGTTGGGTCGTAGAACCATGGAAAATATAATAAATGGCTATTTCATTTTCCAAATGATTCTTCAGATTCACAGAGAGTTGTAGGGTGCCGGGAGGGACACCATTTATGACAATTTTTTTACTGCGCAATTCTCTTAGTAAACGAAGAAGAATATCAAATACTGGTTTGCTGTTGCCGTCGGCCAATTGAAGAATAACAGCACAATCTTGATTCATCGTGGCAGCCAAAATCCCATGCCAATCATAATGGCAAATACAAATAACGGGATCTAAGGTTTTCTCAACTTTGGCCAAAACGCGATTCATCAAATCACTTGATATAACGTTTCTTCCATTGAAAACTTCATCTACTCCTTTGATCGTTACAAAAAACTTTAAAATTTCAGGGAGACATTTCGACGTATCCCATCCTTCAAACACTGCGGAGAATTGTTCTGTTCTTGATGACAGTAAAAGTGTTGGACCCAATAGGAACAACAGAGGCAAAATAAAAGTCTTTCGCCTCATGAGAAAGCGCACACTCGTCATTTTCAATATCCCAAAACTGCAAAATAGGAATGAAAGCACAGAAAATAAGAAGCGACCATGGAGAAGCACCTGAATGAAAGTATTGGGTTGGAAAGAAAGTTTTCCAACACTTTGCGCAAATTTTTCAAATTTTTATAACTTTCTTGAAATGCAATTTCAGTCAAGAATGTAATGACCATTGTTGTCTATGACATGTTCCCAAAGGACGGGTAACTGCTCGATGCCCTTTGCCCAGAACTCTGGCGATTGCGAAGCGAAGAAACGGCCGACATCATTTTCGAGCCGTGCTCGATCGTCGAAGGCCTTGTCCCGCAGGTGATTCTTGAGGGCCCGGAACAAGTGATAGTCGGAAGGGGCCAAGTCCGGAGAATACGCTGGATGGGGCAAAACTTCCCAGCCCAGTTCCGAAATCGTCTGGCGAGTCATCTTCGCAACATGTGGACGAGCGTTGTCATGCAGAAGGAGAACTTTGTCGCGTTTGGGACGCTCTTTTTGAATGACGCCAGCCAACTTCTGAAGTTGAGCAGCGTAGACGACGGCAGTCACAGTG